ACTTTATCAGTACTTTACCAGGAGAGTGCCTGGATCGGCAACAACATCTCTAAACTATCCCATCCTTGGGAATATCAGGCAGGCCACAGTACTGGAGTACTTGGCACTGTAACAGGATTATCCAGCAGTGGACGAGTCATCAGGGATCAGAGTGACCCGCCGGTCGCCAGCTGGTGTACTGCGAGAGATGGGTGCAGTACTTAATGGGTCTTGGAGTCTGGTCTGGGGTTCTTTTCCCCTCTTGGCGCCACCGTGCACTACAGCGAGCTTTTACTACGAGCTTAGCTCGCCGGGTGGTCATTGTAGGTGCAGAATAGTCATTATAGGGTGTATAGGGTACACATGGATAGAAAATTTTATCAACAATCCATCGGTATTTTAGTCAAAAGATTTGAATTAGAAATTGGCATTTTTGAGGATATTTTCACTTGCAGTTTGGGGGGTCACAGGGAACTGGGCGGTTCAATTTGGGTGATAATTGACTGATTTGACCTTTGCAATGTGCATAACTGTATGTGAGGGGCGCACATGTAGGTCCCATGTGAGAGCAACTGTGCAGAGCCTGTGGAGCACTTGAGAGCCCTCCAGCCTCCGGACCACCATGGAGGACGGCTTGCATCCTGATTGGTGAGGGTGCCCTGGCCATAGAGGTGGCCCCATCTGTCTGTCCCCAACAGAATTTGTTTGGCTCCGTTAAAATTCTGTACAATGAACAGAATTTATGAGGGAGCCACAGAGAAAAAAAGCGTTTTACAGAAACGGGTAGGGCCATACTGACATCAGCATAGACAGCTACAGAAATCCACACATCCTTACAGAATGGAACCATGTGTTACAGAATTCGCGCCGCCGTCTACGGATGATAGGCCCCCGCAACAGAGCCGCTGACCGGACCACAAAGGTCGACAGAATTCCATAAAAAATCGATGGCAATCGCTGCCGGGAAGGGCCCGCACTTATGATTTATAGTATGCCGTGATGATGTGTTCTGTGTGTGTGCTGCCTCCAGCCAAGTACCGGCAGTGATCGCTACCGGGAAGGGCCTGCACTTATAATTTATAGTACGCCGTGATAATGTGTTCTGTGTGTGTACTGCCTCCAGCCAAGTACTGGCAGCGATCGCTGCCGGGAAGGGCCCGCACTTATGATTTATAGTATGCCGGGATAATGTGTTCTGTGTGTGTGCTGCCTCCAGCCAAGTACCGGCAGCGATCGCTGCTGGGAAGGGCCCGCACTTATGATTTATAGTACGCCGTGATAATGTGTTCTGTGTGTGTGCTGCCTCCAGCCAAGTACTGGCAGCGATCGCTGCCGGGAAGGGCCCGCACTTATGATTTATAGTACGCCATGATAATGTGTTCTGTGTGTGTGCTGCCTCCAGCCAAGTACTGGCAGCGATCGCTGCCGGGAAGGGCCCGCACTTACGATTTATAGTACGCCGTGATGATGTGTCCTGTCTGTGTGCTGCCTATGGCCGAGTACTGGCAGCGATCACTACCGGGAAGGGCCTGAGCTAAGTATTAATAATTTGCCAATCGAGTCAATTGAAGCATGGAAAATAGCTGAATGGCATGTCGGGTGGCACTTTGTCAAGGCACATCCAGCTTTCCTGGGCGTCATGACCACGCCTCTATTCGTGACAAGCTTCCAGAATCTCAAAGTCCATGACGGATGGCAACGGAATGCCAGGAAAGGCAAGGGAAAAAAAACATCTTTACAGAAATTGGTGGCTGCAAACACCCCCTTGACGGACAGCTCCAGAGCCAAAAAACTGGAAGCTGACGTGGCGTGAACGGCTACAGAAAACCAGCCCCGGCAAAACAACAGAAAAGTGACGGACGGATTTTTTGTCTTGAAAAAAAATACAGAAGTAAAATAACAGAAAAAAATCTGAGCGGCCACGTCTACCTGGCCAGCCTGGACCAGATCCTGGAGTGGCGCAAGGCACAGACCTTCCCGTGTCCAAATGAAGTTAAGGAGTTCTGTGAGCAGCTGGACCAATTCCAGGCTACCTGTCTTGTTGTGCCGGGGTCCAAGCATCTTGGACCAATGAGCAGGGGGAAGTGATGGTGGATTGAGTATCGAAATACCCCAAAGTTCTTCAGCACACACTTATGGAGGTGTGGGAGATGTCCTTAAGCAATGACTATTGTATCTTTGATACGGTGAAGCAAGCGGGATTGGCCTTCCATACTTCGCTTAACATGGGCGCGTCGTTGGCGGCAGTGCGGGCGGAAGTGATTCTCTAGTTCGAGACCATGTGCTATTCTGGGTTGAAGCCCGCATGGGATGCATCCTAGAGGGATATAGAGTTCTTTGAATTGCACCGCATGGACAATGAACCAGTGGTCTCGCATGATCTGGAGATCATGGAGGATGAGATTCAGGCAGAGCAATGGCGGATTATAGGGTAGTTCTTTCACAAGCGCTTTAATGTGCCGAATTTGGATGAAACATATCTGAGGGACGTGCCACTAAGTGCATTGATAGAGGAGCGACGAATTCTGACCAAGCTGCCTCCAGGCCTGCCCAAATGCAATATGGTTTTGCTAGCTCTGCAAAAGGTCACTGAGGGGTGGAATGCATGGGCGCAAGGTATGCAATCGCAATGGAAACTCGACGCGGTGAAGGTTGAGGTGCAAGGATGGCTTCAGGGGCACAAGGCCAAGCCGGACATCAAACAGGAGCCCCCTCCCCCTATAGAGAAGCATGGGTGATTGCGGTGGAGGCGAAGAGAGAGCACATGGAAAGATGCTGGTGATGTGACACCAGATGGTGAGAGGACAGGATATCCAAGGTCTGCATGTAACCATACTGTGAGGATGGCCCTATTGGTTGACATCATTTTTTATAATTTTGATTTGATGCTTGTTATATATTGTGGAGATCAGTGGGATTGGTTGGGCCCAGCGAGAATTTTGGAGAGATGATGGGGGTGCACTGAGGGGACAATAAGTGGCTGGACCTTTGGCCTTTAGCTCACGGGACGACCTGGTTGGGATTGGGCTAACTTTGCCCTTTCGAGTTGATAGGCCCCTCGGAATGGACTTTTGAAGTGACCTTGAATATGTCGTATAAACTTATGGACAATCTTGTATAAGTGAGGTGGGATGTGCAGTGTAGCCACCCTTAGCTACCCTTGTAAGATAATTTTGCTTTGTGACCAGTGCACCAAGCATGCCGCTTTGCGCCGAGTGTGGTACCTTAACGTTGGACGAGTGGATCTCCCTTGGGAGAGAAACTCAGCATCTGTGTGAGGGGAACGCTACCCTGTGTGTGTTGCATACAATTCCCAATTTCGTTGCTTGCGGATGTCTCTTTCTGTTGCGCATACTCAGAGGTTCGTGCCATGTACTGGCACAAATCTTTGCAGTATTTAATTGTGGTTTTACTCCCCATTATAAGAAGACTCAATAATTAAACCTATTAACCATGTTACGGCCTATTAAAATGCCAACTGACACATCACACACATTTACCATGTGCCATAGTGCTACAGTAGTGGAACATTGTGTTTGGGGTTTGCATTGGTGTTACACCATGTAACTTACACAGTGCCTATCACAACTCATCATGTGGACTTGCGCGGCATTGCCCACACTATGAATGCGGGTTGTTCCCAACCATATAGGGCCGCATCATACCATACACAACGGGGAACAAAGGCCCCTCGCGTTGAGTATTTTTGCAATTATCCATAATGCGGGGGGTGCTAATAGCGTCACTAATAGCATAACTGGATAACGCAATGGTACTCTATCAATAGCGCCGCGCTATTGATGGAGTACCATTGCATTATCCAGTGCGCTCCTCATGTTAATATAGTAGTTGAGGCATAGCGGCCACCATCCAAACAAGTTGTGGGACGCCGCCCATGCCCCACCATGAGCGACGCCGCAAAACACCACCTTGTGCACCTTGCATCAACAACACATGCCGGTTAAGACGATCATGCTCAGTGCCGCGAGTGCCCAATCCATGGTCAACGCCGGTCAACAGCCCAACACCAGACGCGCCGTCCGCCCATCCCTGATATGCCAAGTTTATGGAAACGGTCGGCCGCCGCAGCACCCGTCCACTGGACACTTCTCTTGGGTGTCCACAATATTAGTTTGAGGTCCCACTGCGCAGCGAGGCTGCATAAAGTACCACCAAAATTATGACAAAAGGGGGCGCCATTGGGGGCCGCCATATAGGGACCCCTACTATACTTAAAGTGATGGTTACCAAATTCTGACAGAAACTTCCTTGCGACCTCTATCCATCATAATTACACCTAGTGTTGAATGTCTAAATTGTACTGACTCATCATTATCAACACAAAATCGCAAATGTTTGCAAAAGAAGGCAAAGAGGCAGCCGTCCTCAGCTTCCTATTCGCCCAAGCAAAGCGGCGTCCATGATTTGCTCATTGAAGTGTGCTGCCCGACACAAACAAAGTCCAACATTGATCCAACTCATTTTGTTCAACTAATTTCTATTCAACCCACGCGTTGTATATTTATTCGGGGTTACAAGCATTCGAAAAGTTGTTGCCCAGGTCGGAGGGGCTTTCAACCCTCGAGGGAGCGCAGACGCAAAGGACGAAAATCTGGTTTTCGAGGTATTCCCGTGGGTGTGGGGTGCCAACGAGTCACGCTCATTTTCGCCCCATTTTTCAATGATTTTCGCAAATCGCTTCTGCTTTTTTGCTTGAATTTGAGTGCTGGGTGTCCCGCCCCAATGCGCAAGCAATGTACCCAACACAGACAGCGGACGCTGAGACGGTGACGGAGGCGGGCTAGGATTGGGCGGTTGGGCGTTTCCGTTTAAACCTAATAGGGTTGGGCGGTTTTGAACTGTTTAGGGTAGGAGACGTCCCGACTTCGCAAGTCTCGTATGCGTGGTGCGTTTGGGTGGTCCGTATGGGGACACTCTCCAGAGGTTGGACTTGCGCGCCAAAAAGTACCGCCCGCTGCTTGTGAACCGGTGTGGCGCCACACGCCGCGGCACGGCCCGCCATGGATGGAGCGCAGCGTCCGGCGATTGTCATGGACTGCGGAACGGGCTACACGAAGCTGGGCTACGCGGGGAACGTGGAGGTGCGCGATGGCAGCAAACCGCGCGGATTAATCGATTGCCTATTGGGGCCGATCAGGGCGCGCCTTGTTCAGAAACGCATTCCTTGCGCTTGGTTGGGGCGATGCGGGCTGCCGAGAACAGGGTAGAGGGGCTGGCTCGAATTGGATGGCGGTGTGATTAGTGGGTGGCGGTGTGATTAGTGGGTGGCGCTGGTGGTGGGCGGCCGTGCGAGAATGTGGTTGGATCGGTCGGGTCAGGGCTGGCCTAAACGCTCCTCAATCTTTTCTCTCGCGCACTGGTGGTGATGATGTCGTTGGCCTGGTTTGGCTGTTTGGCGAGGGTGCTGCGGCGCGGGGATCGACATTTGATCCGTCGTGGATTGGGGATGGCATTGCGTCCGCAAGCCTTGCCTCCTGTGTCGTGCCCGCGCGTCAATTCTGAGCGGGAGCCCCGTCAGGGCTCGCGGAGTTCAGGTGGACCTTGAGGGCTTGGTGCTTGGAGCACCAATTCTTTGGGGTGGAGATGGCATTCACAGCAGAACTCAAAATTTGTCAGGCGATTGGCGAATCCTGCTTGGTGGGTGCGTGGCAAGTTATGTTCACTGAGCCCTGTTCCACGACAAGGGCTTTCTGAGACTCTTTTCCATGTATGTACAAGTCCATGCAGAACTCCCAAAGTGCTGTGGGAACTGCACAAACTACATAATTGCACAAATAGCAAGGAAATGGAATTGACTGCCCTCTGGGGTATTGGGCAGTGGACCGAAACATGAGTTCCTAGCAATCATACCTTGCGTGATGGGCCGATTTATTTTGAAGGAGAAAGTGCTGGTCAGGTTTTTTGCACCCACACAGTTCCCATGCATCGCCCTTTGGGGAGCAACAAATTGAATTTCGACTGGTTGTCCAACTTCCACTTCAGTGGTCAACCATTATTCCCAGACTGGATTTTGGCAAATGGTAGTATAAAATCTCTGCATCGAATATGCAATGAAGCCCATGGAGCACACAAAATTTGACATTGACATGTACTGTATGGTTGAGGCAAGTTGGCACAGTACTGCACCAAGCACATTGCTTGACAACATGGACAGAAAATAAAAGAAGGACTTTGAACGTGTGCCAGCCCAGCTACTGCTTCCCAACAGCGATCTCCAGTGGGCCGTCTGCTGCACAGCGCAGTCCTAGCCAGCAGGCATCTGGCCTGGAGGACTTGGACTTCTGCATCGGAGATGAGGCCCTGGCCCACGGCCCAACGTGCCCTGTCACCTACCCTATTAAGCATGGCATGGTGCGTCTTGGGCAGCTGTCTCTACTAATGAACAACCGAGATAACAACTGTTTTGCTCAAGGAAGTGCCCCGAGTGCTATTGGTCCTGCCTGCTTGCATCTTGAACATTGTGCAGAATGCCAATCTGCCTGGTTTCGATACCACCTAGGGGGAGCAAGTCTTAGGTTTGATTGGCCCTGCTGAGGACACACGCATTCAGGTAAACGACTAACAGCACAGATACCTGGACTGAACAAATGGCGTACACGCCCAGCAGGGCATCCTAGTAGCCTGCGTACCCAGCAAAACATCCCAACAGTTGCGATGCCCAATGAAACAACCCAATGACATGAATGCCAAGCAGAGAAATACCAAAGCCGTTTGTTTTCCACGAGGATGCGCACGAAATGTTCAGAACTGGTATTCTGAGCGATCTTGGGTCTGTGCTGTGGATGCTGGGCTGATGTCTGTGCCATGCGTTGGGCAACTTCTCTGTTTAGCTGTGCAAATTGCTGTTCGTGCGACTGTGCGCGGTGCTGCTTGCTTCTTTCTGTTGTACTGCTGAGCCCTCCATACAGTGTTGCATGTTCTTGCCATAGCAGTGAGTCACAATTTCTGAGCTACTACTCAGCGCCCCATGTGGACCAATAGAAAACAGAAACGAAGCAAGGATGTGATGAGCAAAAGATACTCCTGTGTTTCGAGTGGGAACTGGTGCCACTTTGTCACAGTGTGTCAGTGCTGTATCCTGCGCTGGAGCTGATGTCCTTTTGATGTCTTTGTGTGGGATAGATTCCTCTCAATACTAAAGGAATATGCTTCAGCAGAAAAAGCTACAGAAAAGCTACAGCACTGATTGGATGCCATACTGCAGATGGTGCAGGGCATCCATCCAAATCTGCTTGTGGCAATGCAACTGATGTTCAGAAATCGAACAAAGTAGTCGTTTTGTTGATTAAAAGGAATGTAATTGCCATAAAGGGATGGAGCATGGTATTGCACTTGCACCATCAATCTGGTGCACAATTCCATCGACAACACGTTGGACTGTTTTCATCTGTTCACTCAAACTGAAATGTGGAGGATGTCGCCTTTCATTGTTTAGAGGCATTTTATGAATCTACCACTTGCTTTGTGGCCTTACTGCTGCATTCACTGTCAACGTCGTCCCCACTTGGGCAACAAGATACTGTGCATGTTTTCTTCCTGTCTGGGGCCAGAGGGCCTTCTGGCCATGCTAGCAGAGCGTGGAGTGCACCATTGGAACATGTGCTGTTCCGATTGAATCGGTGGAGGACAAATGTACTATTGTTCGTTAAGCTGCAGACTCAATTGGGCAAATAGCAGTTTTGGGTTTGTGGCATTGTGTTCACACGTTATCATCGCCATTTGTTTGCTCTTCTTTTGAGCTGTTGTGTTGTTGACCATCCGTGTGCATTGGTTGGAGGCACAGGAGCTTGGACAGCCCTTTGCGGCTGGATTGACTATCTCTGCATCCTGACTGTCCTTCCAAGTCAAGCTCCCTAATTTATTGTTCACAAGAATAGGATGGAGGACTTGCTGGAAACGATATTGAGTTGAAAATGCACACAATGGTATCCGCGTTGAGAAGTCTCATTTGCTTGCTGTCTGTGTGCCATGGCAATGCAGGTTGAAAACTGGGGCTCAATCGAACGGTTCTGGCAGCAGTGCATCTTCAAGTGAGGCTGCTGCAGCAACGTCGGGTTCGGGAGACCTGTGCACTGCACCATGAACTTGGCATCAATATTTGGATACGTTCCTTTCAAATGACAACCCTGCAGTGCTTCCTTCTCAACAGTCACCTCGGATCAGAACACCCCAAGCAGTTCTTTCTGCAGGCGCGAACGCTCCTGAAAGGAGGCGAAGGTATCACATTTCCATCTGCAGAGTCCATGTGTACTGTGGATCACAACGGATTTCCGTTCGCCTGTGCAAATACGCCTCAGCCTTCATTCCAAGCTTGGTTTCCACCACCTTACTTCCATTGCAGTGCTGGGAACAAGCTACGGATGCAAATGGCAGCACTAGCTTTGCAGCGGGTGGCAGCATGTTTCCTTGAGCAGGGCTGTCTGGGCCTCAGGTACCTGCGCGTGGACCCCGAGGACCACCTTTTCGTGTTGACAGAGCCCCCCTTAAACACGCCAGAGAATCGAGAATACACGGCAGAGATCATGTTTGAGACGTTCAACGTGTCTGGCTTGTTCATTGGGGTGCAGGCCGTGCTGGCGCTGTATGCAAGCCTCATGGCCGCCGACGCTACAAGCGAGGTGACTCGAGGCCCGCTGCTGGCGCAGTTAGAGGGCTTGCTTCAAAGATGGCAATTGAATGGAAAGGGCATGAGTTATGTGGAAACGACTGGGCGAATATTCTGTGAATCGTGTTCTGCAGGGGACAGGATCATGACGTGCACTTTTGTTTGTGTGACTCGTTGCGAAATGTTTTCTTTCGTAGGGAATGTTATGGCATTATTGTGTGGCATTATGTGTTGCGATATGTTTCATTGCGATAGCATTATGATATGGTTGTGATGCAATTGACAAATACTCCATGAAGGAGTGTGTGAAATGAGACTCGTTTTTGCACAATGCGGGCGATGGCACGGAGGTCACTGAGTGCAACAAGTATCAAGAGAGGGTAAACGAATACTTAAGGGCAGCGCGTGGTACAATGGCAATGGAGTAGAGGAGTGTTGCCAATCTGCAACAACAGAGTAGCAACAGTAGTGTAGTGACAGTGATACCAGTGATTGTAAATTACCAGTCACCTTGCGTGTGCTTGTGAATTTGCCCCATGTGGTCCCAGCACTCCGCATCTTGTCACCCACCCATTCAACTTCCTCGGCTTAAACTGTATTTGTGTAGATACCTATGTTCCCTTGAACTGCTTTACACTCTCTTGTGAGATTGCAAAGAGCTTGCATCCCATCAATTACAGCTGCAGTGGCACCTGATCTCTTATGTATGTATGTCGACAATTCTGATATCCAGCAGGCCATATACGGTAATGGTTTTTAGCCCACACATAGTTAATGGAAGCATACAAGTGTATCACATAATTGAAGAACTATTGCTCGCTTCTCATAATACATTTGTGCACCTGCTAGGCAAGGATCAATCCGGCTGGGGGACTGACGGGCACCGTTGTTGACGTGGGCGATGGTGTCACACATGTTATCCCCATCGTAGACAGCTACGTCATCGCCAGCAGCATCAAATCGATTCCCATCGCCGGGAGGGACGTCTCGGCCTTTGTCCAGCAACTGATTAGGTGTGCTCAGGTCAAGACACCTCAGCGGCTCCTTCTGCCGTACTACAGCTTGCAATGGTGGAGCGCTTGGCTGTTTCAAACATTTGTGCTTGTTGGAAACTCACTGTCATTGCTCAGGCGGGCGTGTTGGGGACTGTCGTTCAGTGCAGCTTCCTGAGACACCGGAGCCGCTCCTCTGTGCCATACTGCAGCTGATATGCAGTCAAATTTCCATCTGAGTCCACAAACAGGGTCTGTGTCCACGAAGGGACCGGGGCGAGTCTGTGCCCGCGGACATGGCACTGGAAGTCGCAAAAGCCGCCAAGGAGAAGTACTGTTACGTCTGCCCTGATGTCTCAAAGGTGCAGTTCTAGTGTATCGTTGTACTGGTTCATGACGCGTATATCAGCCGGCCCTGCGCGTTGTCTACGTGTCACGCCGCCAGTTCCCTGATAAAGTCATTACCCATTTGCATCATCCACGGTTTGAAATCGGTGGTTTGGATCTTTCCAATGTCGCCACAGTTGTTCAAACAGCGTCCTCCGCGATTGAATACGCGATAGATTGCCCAACGTCCCGCAGCCATACCGATTGCTGCGCCCTTGGTCGCCACTGTCGAGTATGTGCATTTCTTTAATTTAGCCGCCACGCATGGTTTGTGCGCATCCATTAATCGTCAGCCAGTTTCATTTGTGTCAGCCATATCCTGCTGCGTCCCGGTACCTGCGGGCTCTCGGAATTGCGACCTGATGTGGGATGGACATTGCCCAAATTTAAGGTTTCAACGGATACAAACTGAACAAGAAAATTTGAGCTGTTTTGCTGAAAAATGAATTCTTTGATTACTTACATGGGATAATTCGAACGTAATTGCAGCTAGGTTTGCACGATATGTTCCTGCGTAGGAACCGATTTGCATCATCACCGCAGGATTTCCTGTTAACACGTATGGAGACGCCGCGCTCTCGCAAAGCCTCGGCCAGCATCATCCAGGCTGGTGAATGAGTCCTCATTCACCCGCTGGGATGTTGTGCGCACCAAATTCCGTTCCTTAATGACATTTAGTGCATGCACCAAAGCAGGCAAGCGGTGCCCAAGCAAGCTTAGCAAGAGGCCACGCTCGTTTACTTCATCAATTGATGTCCACGTCAATTCGAATTGTGGCGGCGCTGTGTTGATGACAATTTTCGCGCCTCGGTGCGTTCGATCTGTAAGCATTCGTTCGACCCTTCCACAGGAGTTCGTGCGCTTCGATGCAGACCGCGCGAGGGCCGTGAAGCAGTACAAGGGAATCAACAACAGAACGGGCCAGGTGAGCTGGAGACACGGCATGCTGTTGCGTTTACCTGAGCGTCCGCTGACTAAATTCTGCAATCGTCTTATCAATGCTTCGCTCTTGAATCCAGGAATATCTCACCCTTTATGCATCAATCTTACATTTGAACTCTGCAAGCAGGGCAGCTATCTACTGCTAGTGCGTAAAGTACTTCTGCACCTGGTGCGTTGCAGCGAGCTCCGAATTGGGATTGATTCGTGATTGTGATGAGACTGAAGTTCAGGCCCCCAGCAGATCCAGCTGGTTTCCATTGCGAACATGTGTAGAAGTAGAATCCTCCATGATATTTGCAGCCAATCGACTGTATGGCATTCATCAACATTGCCACTCTTTTTGGTAATTAACTATGTATAAATGCTCCAGCAACATACTTAATCCTGTAATATGGGGATGCTGTTTGGTGCGCGTATTTAAAGTTGAATTCGGCTCGATGACTTCCGTTTGCTGTGTCGCACTCGTAGCTCACAACCAAGTCAATCTTTCGAAATCCAGACCGTGTGCTATGTACTACTTGCAACCCTCAGTAAATTGCCAAACCTTGCATTAACAGAATCCGTGCTAAATTTCAGTCGTTTGAATTCAAGGGCAGTGAGTGGAACAAACTGTTTGTGGCACAGGAATTCATGTGCGACATTGGTCCGGAGCGGTTTCTGGGCCCCGAAATATTCTTCACACCTGAGATGTACAATTCGAACCATTCAAGGTCCTTGCCATGCGTGGTTGATGACGTCATCCAGTTATGCCCCATCGACACCAAGAGGGCACTCTACCGAAACATTGTGCTCAGCGTGAGTTGGCGCCATTCCCTAGTGGCCGCCGATCCTCAAGACTCCGTTTGCTGTTCTGCATGTTTGTGCTTTGTTGCACATTCATTTCACAACAACTTCTGAAACGCGCATCGATCGAAATGCATGAAAACGCCTCGTCGAGCACTGTGTTATGTCGAATCTATTGCGCAGCTGCAGCAATCCAAGATTGCGTGAATGAGATGCTGGTCGCAGCCCATTTCGGCGGCAGCCTTACTTCAGCACATTGCAGGGGTGAATTCTGACAACCTGCAGCGCGTTTTCCCTTTCGCTCGTTGCCTTACTTTGTCTCGTCCACTCCGGTCACCTCTTCTGTTTCAGTCAATTTCTCTAACAACGTTGAGGCAATGGAACCTCTGTGGGAGTTCCATTCCTGAGAGCACAACACGCCATTTACCAAGCACTCGGCTGGCGCCATGCACGAGCAGTGGCGACACAGTGCTGTGCTGTTTTTCATTCTGTGGCATTACTTTTCATTTGTTTATATGCGGCGCAGGGTGGATCCACCATGTTCAAAGGCTTCGGCCGCCGGCTTGGCCGGGACCTGAGGGCACGCGTGAACAGCCGCTTGGCCGACAACGTTCAGGTGGGGGTGCCGAGTGGAAATGGCCGGCTCTGGTGCCACTGCGAACATTTGGGGACGTGCAATGCATCGCTGCTGTTACAGCCATTCTGCTGTCGCTTTTTTGTTTCCATTCTAATTTGGGGCAAAATGGGGAGCAATTTCTGTCCGTTGCATTGGAATCCAGATAGTGCTTTCAATGTAAATGTCGCCGCACAGCGGAGCACCACACTTGCGCTACTTGTGTGCATGGGCAGCTGGGCTGCCGGCTGCATCACGATGGCCGCAATTCCTGGATCCCAGTTTGTTGACAGCAATGCGAGTCGCCTCAGCTGAAGATCACAGTGGCAGCTCTGCGCCTGGCGTTCCCGCAGCCTTGTGTTCTGATGCTCGGCAATACTTCTCTGAACTGATCTGAACTCTGGACGAGTAGAACGCAAATTATGTTTCCGACACGTAGACATTGTGTTCAATCTCCAAAACTGCCGAGCTCTTTCGATGCTTTTCCGAATGCCCCAAAGTTGTGTTGATAATTTTCAATCCTTTTCCGTGGACCCCAGCCCGTTGACGTCCACGTGCTAAGCCACCCCTTTCAGCGATACGCCGTATGGCTGGGCGGCAGTCTGTTGGCCACACGGGACGAATTCCGACTTGCTTGCAAGTCAAGAGAAGACTATCAGGAACATGGCCCGAGGTGCGAATACTGGTCTGTGGAGATGAACAAATTGTAGCTGGTGTTCTTCGCTTCGTCGACTGCATGTTGCAGGGGATGCTTCTGTTCAGATAACTGTCGTCCTCGTTGCTCGATACGTATGGTATTGCATCGGCTCTTCAGTGGCTGCCCGTTCCTTGTACCCCAGGGTTTGCAAGTTTGGACCAAATGCCCGTGGGTGCTGCACCTGCCCATCTGGAACAAGGGTGGATGCTGATGCAAACAGTATGGCCGCATTGCCATTGTTGCAATGCCCAGTCACGCTTCGCCAATTATGCCAATATTGATAAGCGCTAATGTGTGCGCCAGCGTAGCGTCAAATGCTGGTGCACTGGCCTTGCCGCAACGTGATTCGGCGGCGCATCAATGATACTGCACACACAATGTTGCATCGATTTCTGCCCAAATTGCAGATGGCGTTTAGTCGAAGCGCATGGATTGTCAGCTCTGCACAATTTCGTTCTCCTTCTGGAGTAGATCTCAGAGTGCATGAGAGTAATTTCAGGCAAAGCACTCACAAGGCGATAATGGTGAGGAATATGCATACCGTGCACAATTGGGTACAGGACATGTGTTCCGTTGCCATTTTGCCCGGGAGGGCGCTGCATGCGAATAATGCCCAACTCGGGGCTTGCAGGCCGTCATTTTCCATGCTTCGATAGCTCGATAGCTGTAGACAGTGATTTAATTTGAGTGCATCAAGTTGGCGTCGGGGCCATGGTGCAGCGGACCGGGCACTGACGTGCGGATGGACGGTGCCATGGGGGCGAATTGAATTCATCAAGTTTGTCGCCAACTGCTGTGTGGTAGTAGCGCTCTTCCCACCGTTCAGTGGTTGATTCATCACCACAGTGCCTAGAGGGGCACGATATAATAGTTTGATCTATGGTTTGTGAATTTGTTGTGTGCTGTTCGTATTACGTGTAACTTCGTTGTCGCGTTTTGTAATTTGAGGGCTCTGCAACATTGGCATACGCATCTGAACTGGATTCCCAGAAACTCTTGTGGGCATATGCCGAATTGAATTAACGGTGCTTGGTATAAGTAGTCCATTTAGGCCAGAAGGTCTTTTAATGCTCAGTGAGCATTGCTCACCGCTGTTAGCAATTTTAATACTTCCGTGTGTATTTCTCTAATACTTCCATCACGTGAATACTTTACACACGCGCGGTTTTAAATGGAGACCCGAACTATTAGTTCATTAATTTATTGATTATTTGACTGTAGACTTGTTAAGATCCACCTATTGTGATGCATTCAAATGCCAGGTGTGCTACCCTTGGCATACCGTTACTTCAATTTACAAGCAACGTCAGGAGCGTCAATTCAATTCTTGTAATTTATGGGTGCATCGATCAACTGATGAAGAGAATTGTTCACATTTCCGATTCTTGATGTCGCAGTATCTGTCGCACAAATTACGTTTTCAGAGACGTGTGACTTCGTGGGGACCCACAACAGCGGGAGGGCCCTGTCGAGGAAAGAGGATCTTTCGATGGCATTCATCCAAGCGGATGGCGCAAATGATGCACGAGGAAGTGTGGAAGCAACGCAGCCATGAGCGAGATTCCACGCTGTCAGTTGTCTTGCCGCTTGGCGCTCGTACCAAACTTGGCTTTCTGCTGGAATTGGCGAATCCCCCATTCTGCTTCAAGGTCTGTACTTGCAATGTGCAGCAAATGCGTCCCAATAGTTGGGAAGACGCAGTGCCGTGTGCGGCACGACGCCATTGGCAAGACATTCGCTGCCAATGTGACAGCATTTTGAGCCTCGTGGATGTGATGAGAGGCGAGCTTCGCCTATTATGTACCATGGAGACGTTCTGCAATGCTTTATTGGATGTAATCAATGGGGATATGCAGACACTTGGTCTTTGCTTTCAGAAGCACCCTAGGCGGCAACTTTTGATAGATGGGGCTGACGGAGCTTAACGTTTTGGGGATAATAGCGCTTGCTAAACGGTAATCGTTGACAAATTGGGCCACCACACCAAATCCAAAGTCAGGGTTCCAGCGGTATGCCACTTGTGGATCGAATTGCAGGCAGATGGATCAATCAATCGGTCCCTTGGCACAAGGTGGCTCGGGGCAGTGGAGAAGGCGACGAAGAAAGGCGACCAACTATTAACCGTAACCCTATAGCTGTATCCCTTTCATCGACATGGAAATGCAGAACGCGCTGTCTCGGTACTGGTCCTTGCAGATAGCACCCACATGCAACGTACTTTACACTCAATGTACACTGAGTTCACGGTATGTTCAGCGTGAAAGTTATTTTCAGGCCGTGAGCACGGGTCAACCAAGTATGGTGTTCGTGGCGCGTCTCATGGCCGCCTGCGATGTTCCCGTTGCCTAAATTGCGTAACAATTCTTGGTGCTCGTCGAAAACAGGTATGAACAAAGTTGGGAAGGTTTCGCCGCTGCTTGCTGCTCTGTACAGCGTCGAGTACAGACACGTTCCCACGCACTCGGTATGCTGACCAGTGCGATGTGATTGCGCTGCGAGCATGCTGTGGGGCCAATTTGGTTTTGAGCGATTTATTTGACAATATAAATTGGATTATTTGGGCCTAACGCGCCCAACGTTCAGTTTTAAATGTTCCACTTAGCTGTAGCAGCTGAGTGCTCCCGTATCTTCAGCGCGGGAGTGTTTTGATTGGAAGTTCTGCAGGCACCGCTGCGGGGATATTCCATTTCCTGTACTGGGAGCGACCCTGGCGGTCTTCCCATGCGCCAGCCAAACGCACAAGCGTGTCAATTTGGCACTCAATTTGGTCCTCAATACTTTTGCTTCCAAAAGGTACGCCTGTACATTGAGTGGCCGTCCGAAGTCCACACTCCCATCACTGACGCCGCCCAACCAGATACCTCGGCATTCAACCCACATCAGTTCCATAGCGATGGCATTTCGGGGACGAATGCCCATCTCCCGGGCCCCCCTAATCCGCCCACGTCACCAAACAACATCAACACAGTTGCTCCTATGTACGCCACTTTCCCCCAATGTAACAAAACTCTGCTTTCAGCCTCCCATGTCGCCATCTCCGTCGCCCGTACGATTCGACAGCGCCACGTCCCCACATTTAGACGCTCCGATGTTTCGATGTGTGTCCTGCACTCCGATGCTCCGTTTCTACGCTGCCCCGATGCTTCGGTTTGCCAGGCGCTTTGGCGGTCCGTACGGCAGCGCACTCAGACGAGCGTGGGGCTGTCCTGCCGCCTCGTCGACATGTTCATGTAGTCCGCCGGCCTGCAGCACTTGACGATGAAGAAGATCGCCAGGCCGGCGACCAGCACCACGAAACCGCCGACCACCAGCCCGACGATGAGGCCGACGTTGGGTCCAGAGTCGCCGCCTCCCTCGTCGACCGGCGGCGGGCCCTCCGGCATCCTGGTCACCTGCAAGGTGACGCGGCATCGGCCAGTCCATCAATCAAAATTTGATTTAATCATTTAATGATGAAATGATCAAAATTTGATCATTTAATGATCCACTCGTCGATGGACACGTCATCACCACCATCGCCACCGTCATTCTTACGTAACAAGGCGAGCGGGTAGCCATCGACAGGTCACGAAAAGTCAGCTGCATTCCTGACTCCCACCAGTCATCCAATGAGTCAATCGATGAATTAACCAAGCAAGCAATGAATCGAACAGTACAGCACGTCAGCGATCAACAACGCCAATGAAGGAGCGGGGCTGAAGCCTCGCGGATGGGTGCAGCTATCGGCACTACTGCTGGAAAGTATGGCACAGGGCTCAGTACTTCATAATACTTAGTTGATCATTCTTCCCTGAAACGTCCAGCAATCGAGTGAACAAAGTTCCAAGCATATACCACACAGCAGTCGCTTCTGCCAGGCTGAGGCGTTGCACCTAATCTGCGCGTGGTGCGCGGTATGAACACTGGTCAAAAATCGGCCAAAGTGCACGGTCCTGAAAACCGTGTACCCTGTTATGCGTGTAACAGTGGTATAAAAAAGGTGTGAAAATGGTGTAAACATCGTGTACCAATTGTGTACAGAATGCACGTATGCCGCTGCCGCACAGTTTAAATTGTGTAAAACCGTATTCTTTATCGTATTATCTATGGCGGTAAGGTGGTCCACTTTCGTGTACATTAGAAGGCTGAAACTAAACAATTTCATCAATCGTACAAAAGTATGCTTTGAAGCACACGAATTTTACACGACTTTACCAATATTTCCCTCGACTGTACTCCGCGCAAAATGGCCGAAGTTTGGCCAGTCGAAATAGATGGCAAAGCTCGCAGCAGCGACATCACCGAGAACAATAGCAAACCTCACATGCCCCCAGTACTGAATTTCTCAGTTCGCACGATTTCCGCGGGTTGCCTGGCACTTAGGAACTGCCGGGGACAGTGCCTTCACAGTTCCCTAGCCTTCGCAACTAGGAAAATGAGCCAAACGGCTTCTCCAATGCCCCTCCAGGCCCATACCTCCGGTGCGCCGTACGTCTCCCTGAAGCTCGCTCCGAAGACGTCGCTCTGCGGATCCACGACATCTTCTACGAATGTGTCCAGCACCGCTTGCTCCGTGCCAGCCGGGAAAGTGACGGTTGTGTCCGCGATCACGGACCCCTCCCTCAGGCTGTGAACGACGATGTGTTTGCGGTCCAGACCGGTGGCATTCGCTAGTTCAGTCTTCACCGAGTCCTTGAACTGGCGCTCTTGCTCGGGGTCGGACTGCAGCCTATATAAAGAAACTCGCTTTCAAAACAGAGACATTTCCCATAGGACCTGTACTTCTAGGGCGTTGTGGAGATCCTTCCTTGTTGAGACACTAACTTCATTCATGAACAATATGGACCGCTGGATAAGGACATGTTCAGAACCACTGGAAATCAGCACCTTCGACATTCCACAAAGAACTCGCTTGCAAATCATGTATACCGGAGACCGCCAGAGGGAGGCATTTCCAGCTGGGAATCTTGCCTCCCTTCCGTGACCAGGTGCCATCTGGCGGACGGGCTATGGTTTTATATTGACGTGAACAGTCATTTGAAATGGCAAACAAACAGAGCATATCTTAATTCTATATGGGGACCGGCATGAAAAGGAATCTTCTATCCTCTTAAACCGTGGTTGTTCCGGATTCAATTCCCTGTATAAGAACAAGTCTTGGGATATTATCGCCTCCAAATGTTAACATACGCGCGCCAAGGGGGGCATACGGGCAGATTTCCAAATTGGAAAATGTCTACCGAGAAATATTGACCAGCATTTGACAACATCATGGCTCCTCGTTGTCGGAGAATGGACGACGTGTCTGGACCCTGTTTGTGTTACTCATTAGATTCTAATGAACTGATCACAGACACCGCCTTTGCTGGAGCAAAATAAGAAGCTGACGGCTACCTCATTGCCTTGTTATGTAAAAATAATGATGGTGGTGATGATGAATGCATGACGTGAAGAAAGCTGCTCGGCGGCGGGTCCTGGGTTCCCCAAAATGCACTCGCCTTGGTGTCTTCGGCAAGCACCGTGCCTTCACCCTTCGTCGTGTTCTTGGGAGCCGCGGTGTCGTTCACTGGATTCGGCGACTCAGCCACAGGCGCAAGGGCCGGGAGCGGAGGGTAGGGCGCCGGAGGCATGGGCGCGGGGGGGAAGTCGGGATTCGGCGGCGCAGGCGGGGGCGGCGCCTGGAACTGCGCCACGAACAGCTCCCCCGCCTTGGTAGCATTGCACGTCACAACGCCCCTGTCGGCGTCGTAACTTGTGAACGACACGCCTCCGAGTCCGTCGCCTCCGACCGCAGATCCCGCGGAAATGCGCAGACATTCAGTGGCCTTGTTGGCCAGGTGGCTTGAGGGGTCCACGGGGATCTCCACCGCCATCCAGCAGGTGTCGTTGACGCAAAGCTCGTCTCGGTCCAGGCCGCTGATTTCGACGCCCACGACGCCGGACGTGATGGCCACCTCCGAGATGCCCACCCCGGTCAGCGGGGGCCCAATGAGGTCGGAGTGAATGGACGGATCCTGAAAGTAGGTCACGCGGACGCCCAGCTGATCTGGGCAGGACTCGCCGCAGCTGGAGGAGAAGTCCTCCGGCAGAAAGACGGCCACCGACTCGCTGAGGTAGATGGCCAATCCGTCCGCGTTGGCTGCAGTTTCCTGGGCGCAGGCCGCCGACGTCACGTTGCTGTCGGCGCCGGCCTGGGCGGAGACATTGCGAGGATCCTCGCCGGGGCTAGAATCGAGGCACAGCAGGTCTCCGACGGTGGCCATCACCTCCGTGACGTTCTGGTACGCCTCCGCGGTGAGGGTGTCGTTGCCGCCCCACCGGTCGACGTATGTGCCGACGACGGTCAGCACGGCCGACGCCTTTTCCGTCGAGTACACCTGATCATTGGACGGAAACCTCAGCAAAGCTGTGCCACTTCTGACCAGTTCATTGCAGTTCCCAAAGGGTAGTTAGCG